GCTCCCTCCTTTTTTACCGTTCTTGCTGAGCGGAGAGCATTTATAACAAAGGGCTGTACAACGATATATGGTTGTGAAACTACCTCTTCGGTCATCTCACAGCGTTGTTTCCAATCGAAAACAAGAGACTGGATTTGCTCTTACTGTTGTAATACCGACAGATGTAATTACTATGTGCCTGTAAGTTGGGCTGCTGATGGTCCTTATAAATATTTTCACAATTTCTGGGTATATTTGTCATAATTCAAACATCTGTATACATTTGACAATTGCCTTTTCTGTTCAACTTTTAAAGTGCTCCAAAATTCGATTTCACATCAGGCAAGTCAGCAACATTTTCGGGAGGTTCATAAAGTATAACTGCCATGATTCAGGAAGGACTGTTACTCATGTCCATACTAAACTCCTAATTCTCAGTAAATAATATGCTGTGTACTAATATTCATTTTAAAAGTTAGCATTCCATAAACTGTCGAGAAATATAATTAAGAAGTGCCTCTGATCTCTCAACAAAGCACAACTTTCTGATTTGTGTGACAGTTTTACCACTGAACATCGCACGTATACATATATGCGATGTGCAAACCATTAAGTCTTGGATTTCCTCCAGTAATTTTATAAGAACCACGACAGTCTTCATTTGGTCCTAGTAATTGGTATATGATGCATTCACTTTTCCCACCTGAACAACCTTCAAGTGACTGTGAAATGTTTTGACAGACTCTTAAAATATATTGAGTTAAGACTAAAGTTTTCAGCTATTGTTTGGAAGTGTAAAACGGCCACCCATTAAGCACTCCGCCATTCAAATAGCTCCCCTTCACCATAGTTCATTAGTTTTATTATGTGCCCGTAAATATGCTCAAATTGTTGACTTCTAACATATTCTAAGGTTTGATCAAATACTTTTTCTTCAAATCACAAGACTTTCGAGTGAATAAGTTATACCAAGTATTGTGAAATGTTAATAACCTAATTTTAACAAACGTTTTCTTTTTTTTTCGAATTCAGGGAACTGCCTCACGATCTTTTCCTATTAACATCGTAACTTTACTTGTTGTATTTTTATGGCATTTGCTGTGGAAATGTTTGTGATTAAAAGCAGAAGTGAAACAAAAAGTGAGTTAATGCTTATTGGAAATTTTATGTTTGTTCATTGTACAAGTAAGATCTAATGGCTACCAGATAACACAAGCTGTTATTCTAAATCAGTGTAAAACATAGCTGAATGTGATTTCAGTTAGCATTCCAAGGTAAGCACACCTGAATGTCTACTACCACCTAAATCTATCCTTATTCACTCAGAGGCATCCCTGGTTGATTAAGTCTTATCACAGGATTTGCAGAAAATACAATATAGTCAATAAATTTAGTTCTCAAACGCTTTCCGCGTTATGCGCTAGAGTATATTAATCAGCTAATAGCAAACATAGGTAATACTGCTTCTGATGAGTAGTAGTTTTAAACAGCTACAACAGAAAATGATAAGAGCGGAACACGACATTCGTCGATATGTTTTCCATCCGCTTCAAAAATGTTTGTCATAAACTTTCGTACCAAAGCACTGATTCCCGAATAATAGTCGTTCTGGCCAATCTGGATCTTCATTTCATTTAAAAGCAAGAGAAACGTTTATTTCTAAATATTGCTGTCTCTCTATAACATTACATGCTAAATCTCAGCAGAATGCAAGACCAATGACTCTCTGGAAGTTGTCTGTGGGCATCAAGATAACATCTATCACTTAAAAACTAGAATATGTCCCTACCTGCTTCGAGTTATACATATGACTTGAAAATGAGATCAAAAGCAAAGATTGATCTGTTATGAGTGTTTTAAGTACTTAAATGCGAATAGTGACGCTAATTGCATGGATTTTAAAAAGTGTAATCCAGAGACTGAGCAACTATTTTTGCCTTTAGTGACAAGACCTAAATTCCACTTTGTTGTTGACAATTCACTCAGCGGAACTTGATTCAGTGATCTGCTGGTCAGAAAATCAAGTGCATAAACCGGTGAGCCGCGGTAAATTAACAAAAATTAATAGGCTTCGTCATGAAACAGTTTAAGCGAAAAACTTCGTATCATCGCTGTAGAGACAACGCTGACTTCACTATTCGAAATTACAGAGTTTAGCATTTAGAGAACTAAATGACTTCCAGTATGTTTTTTCTTACTAAAAAGTAGTAATTTATCTATTTACTAGCCATAGTTCATAATATGTCAACAGACTAAACATTTTTGATCATCCCATTACAGATTTCTTTGTGGTATACAACTGCACATGAAGTGAGCTACATTTTGAAGGCATAAAATGACTTTGGCGATATCACTTGATTGCTTAAATGAAAATGTCTTCCCTGATTATTGTAAATATGATCTTTTTTCTACTGAATAACAAGAATTCACATATCACCAGACCCCTAGTTTTTTATTCATTTGTCATGTTTTTCTGCATACAATAGACTATAAGCCTTGTTCAGTATATTGATAACTTGAGACTAATCAATTTCCTAGACCAAAGTAGAATGAAGACTGGACACGGCATATACAAGTTGGACGTAATACGTAAGCTATTGCGTTACACATTTACAAGAAATACGCTCACTCCGCAGATGTAACTACTGGAGGAGTGTTATTTTAAAGACAAGCAAGCTGATATTTTCAATGGCATACAAGAAGGCATAGTTTGTAATTAAAGTCAATAAACGTAAGTAGAATATTAGCTGAACGGTTGTTCATTTGCGAACCTGGTAAGTTCACTACCCTTTAGGGATCATATTTAGATCTTGCTAATGGCCAGATATCATGTAAAATTCAGTTGGAACTCTGATCGAGACCAGCATCCCAAGTACAGTCTAGTCATAATTTCAGCTATGCAGTTCTGTAGAAATGGTACATGATCAAGCCGTCATAGCGGACGTCCAAAATAGCACCTGTTGAATGACACAACCTCGACCATGTTCAGACAATATTATCGGTTATCAGAATTACTTGCATGGTACTGCCATTCGATGCCAACAGTTCTGCAAAGGCAGTAATAATCAACCATTTAGAGTCATTGCATATACTCAGCTCGGAAAGACTAGGTTTCACAGGCGTGCAGCAAGACTGCACGTCATATGATTGTAAACCCAAAGTTCGATGGTCAGTGTAACATCGCTAGAGACGGCCTAGATTGGCATACGCCATACCAAAAACAGGTCTTATTAGTGACACCTCCGTCACATAACTACCTAGATAAATGAACTTATTGATCACTTTGGAAGGATGAGTGCATGATGGTGCCAATCTTAAGACAACACTTTCCACTCCGGTGGCAAAAAGCACATGCCATTCAAACATTGGTTACCAACCAATTAAGTGTCATTTGAGTAACCTGTATGTTATTACACAGTAAGACAATAGCATCTGCATACTCCAGGTCAAAAAGTCTGCCCGCAGGTAGTAAACCTACATCACCATCAAGTGCATACTTTATAGCTGTTGCGAGAACGTAGTCAGTGGTAAAGTTAAAGAGAAGTGCTGAGACTGCGCAACCCAATCTAACCCCCATTGCTGGTCGAAAATAGCGGTGGTAGTAAGCCTTTGCCCCACCTAAGGTATTGTGTGTCAACGGCTTTCAGCATATTGACAAACTCCTCAGATACACCTCTCCTTAACAGACACTGTTCTAAAGAACAACTCTGTTCAAAGAATCGAAGACAAACCATTATACCAAGAAATATGGTTGTTGGCCTGCAAATCGATGTCGCATCAACTGGCGAAGACTGAACATATGATGAATGCATCCACGACCTGAACAAAGTTCAGTCTGCTCTTAACCAGTCAAAATTTCTCATGCTTTCTACGCAGCCTGCAGTGCATGACACCAGCCAATATTTCAGACGCAAATGGTAACAGGCTGTTTGTAGCTTGCACTACGTAGACCCTTTCTAAAGACAGACACGGTAATAGCCTCGTTCTTCCACTTTTCTAAATAATCCAGTCAAAGGAAGTGACTTTAAACAGCCGGAAGCAGAGTGCCCTATAGAGCGTTAGTACTGTAAGCATCTTTCGAAAGACTGGCACTAAACAAACATGGAGCAATTTTATGTTGGGTACTGGCGATATATAGACCAGCCAAACTATTTCTCACAGTGCTTCGTCCAGCATTTCAAGCGTTAATCGATATGCCATCTGCCTCTTAAATAATCTCTCGCGAATGAGAACGTCTGGTACTTACAACCAGATTAATGGACATGTAGATCCACCTAAGGGAGCAAGAAATCCCAGATTCCAACCGTATGGTGTACATGGGCTCTAGAATCCATACTGATCAAATAGCGTATGAACCTGGTTTCGTCACCGGAAACCATGGGAACACAGCTCCTGACGCTGCTGCTGCACTGCCATGTGGATTAGACTTCAATTCAAAGGCTCGGAGAAGGGGAGACGGTCCTTTAGGACAACCACGTGCTTCGTTCTCGGCGCCCAAGCAGTATCTCAGGCCTTGCACATACTATGATATAATTTTGTCTGGCGCATCTCTCTTGATACCCATAATGTACATCAAGTTTGTATTTGGAATAAAAGAAAATAAATACCCATTTGATAAGACACGAGAAAACACTGAACATCAATTTTACCTTCCAAAAAAGTAGATACAAATAGAAAGACAAGAAATATTACCTCATTCATAACAGCAACGAAAATAATCATAGGAACCAATAATTAGTAAAATTAAAGAACGAGGAACTAGAGCGATATATGTACTCTAAGTTCAAAAGAAGAGTTAATGCATGGTTATTATGAATTCAGCTGTATTTTTATTATAATACAAAATATTTTAAAAAAGAAAACAAGATCACAGAGTAGATGGTTTGTGATGAGATGAATCACTGGAAGGAAAGGTGTGTGTGTGTCTGTGTGTTTGAGTCCGTCACTCGACTATCATATTTACAAGTAAGTGTATGAAGGAAATTATCCAAATCAAAAAAGAGAAACGGAAATGCACGCAACTAGCCAATCCCCGTGATTTCCCCAATATTAGCTCTAAAAAACAAAACAAAAAATGTATGAAAAGATAACTTCTCAAATATTGTAGTCAATTTACTGGAATATGAAAAATTAGTGCCGATAAACCCATATGTACACAAAACAGGTTCGGGTCACAATACATAATATTCGTTCATAAACCTGTCTTAGGCGTTCAAAAATTATGTATCATTACTCTGACTCTGAATTGGTAATCCAATTTTAGCGCCAATGTTCATTTTACCAGATAATATTTTTACCTCCCTCTGTTTGCTCACCTGGTTTGCGTATCTCTTATCTTTCATCGTAACCCGTAAACATTTTGACCTATACTGATAAGGAAAAACTGAATCTTCATCTCTGTTATCTTTTATATAAATATGTATGACAAGTACAGGTGTATGTGTGTTTATGATCAGAACGTCCGAAAGGCGTTGCGCAAATAACGGCGAAAATATATCACAAATCAGACTTCCCGCGCTTTCCTTCCAGTATACTTGTAAAGGTGGAATGTAGGCGGTCAATTATGACTTAAATTTCCTCAGGTACTTGATTTTGTATTACGAACCTAGAAAAATCCTGTAATCATATTAGATGTTACGCCTGACTGTTTTAAAAAACTGTGCTACCTACTTTTTTACGACGCAGCTAGAGTATCTCTTGTTACGTTTGCTACATCATGCACGAAAACACCTCACGATAGCTTTTATCCTCACATGCAAATACACATTACATTACACGCTTCAGATAAATCACATTTTGTTATTTTGTCAAAATTCATGAAGGGAACTAATTGTGTTCAATGTCATTTTTAATTGGTAATTAAAATGACTTAAAAGGTAGACGAGAAAGGGTAACCGTTTCATTGTCAACACCAACAGTCTACATGTTAGCAGTTAAACGACAAGGAGCCTGACTTGACTTGAGAAACCCGCATGCATAATGGCACTTCTTCGTAAAGATCATCTATAATAATTTCAAGTAATTGTATGCTTCCTTTAACAACTGTGGAGATGTGGCTTAGTGACTCATGGGTTTGAGTCCTGCCCCACGTACTTCTTCAGACTCAGCAACTCGATAGTACCAACCCTCACACCAGACGAGTGTGACTCTTAGTCTGATACATGAAAAGTCTATTCACGGGTGAGTTTAAACAACCTTTGAGATCCAGAACCATAGCATTTGCTAATTTGGCGACTAATTATCAAACAATGACTCTCCCAAAGAGAACGAATTTAACTACAGGATTATGATATTGTGTATGAGCTCTCCATTCATTCACCAACTACTGTCATATTCCAACACTAAAAAATAAATTCATAAGACGCATAAACTTTCGTATCATAAAAAGTAAATTACAAAGAAGTCATACTGTTTGATCAAATTAGTGACCACCTAAAATCAACTCCTTCCCATTATGAATGGCTTAAAAAATCAAGTGTTTCTGATACACTAAGTGTGCATGGAAACCTACAATTTGACGAATTATTAAAACACTTTTTCATCTCATTGTAGACACATATATATACATTACAGAATACTCATGGAAATTCCATTCCTCAGCTAAAGCTAGCCTATTTGAGGCGAAATATGTTCAGTGTGTAGTATAACCTCACTGATACGTAAAACAAAACCAAGAACTTAGCATAACATATTAAACGTCCAACTTGGTCCACCGGGGTTACGTCACAGGATGATACTGCATGCCGTTATGGTCTTGTAAGAGGCTGCTATGAGTGTGTTCGGCTCTCCCGAAAACCAATATACAATTACCCAGTCAATAGGTTTATCGAGTCGATGGCTCAATGGTAGAATGCTCGCCGACCACGCCACAAGTGGTCTGGGTTCGACTGTCGATCCACGGCACACCTAAGCTTCACCTAGCCGGTAGGTAGTTGGTCCAGTATAGGGGAAGGGTTGGATGTGAGGCCACCTCTACTGAAACTGCAGACATCAAGCTTGAAGCTCCGTGTTTCACTCGGGACGCAAATGAATGAAAAAATGGTCCAACTATCTACGGTTCTTCAGCGCCAAACACCACTTTAATTTCACCGAGTAAGTTTTAGTTCCGAAACCTACTACTACTACTACTACCGACTACTACAAACAATAGGACCATCCCCTGCGACGACAAATACATAAAGCACAATATGGTCCCGAAAATTCCAGCCAGTTGTCAGTGAACTCTACATTTGACTGGACAGTCATAGATTCATGAAAAAAACTTGTCAATCTTCAAGAGAATCGGAAATATATATACGTCAAACATTTTCTTTCTTCCGTTACGTTCCAAGTAGAACATAAGGCTTCAAACTTGAGCTTAGAAGTTTCAGTAGCAGTGGGGTTGTTTCTTTCATCAAGTGTCTTTGATAGCTGAACACCCAATCTTTCCTCTTTACCAGGCTTACTACCAGCCAAGTGAGGTTTACGGATGCGTCGGCTGGGAATCGAACCCTGATCAAACGCGCAGTTGGCGAACATTTTATCATTTAGCCACCAACGCAGATAAATAGTGAATATCTGAACATTTCATTAGTCAGATTGTAGCACTATAAATCCTCTTTTTCCGGGCTTAGGACCAGATAATAAACTAGTAAACTAGTAGGGTAACCTCTCCTAGATTACTAGGTCACTAGTATTCTAGCCGGTCCCAAGCCCGGATAAAGAGGGAGGGTTGGGGCGTGGTGCTAGCAACTCCACCCCCAAAACTTAACCAAATTGCTACAAAAACTTCAACGCACAAATATATTCAAAATTCTGAAAATACAAACAATAACCTTATTTTTCGCTGGAATCGGGGAAGTGAAATGACGCAGGCTGGTGAAAGCCTTCGGGAAGCCAGTCAGTCGATGTGCCTTCTTTCGATGAAAGCAAAAATTAGGATGGGGACGTGGAATATTCGTACAATGTACGAAACTGGAAAGGCTGCTCAGGTAGCCGCAAAAATGAGGAGATATAAAATAGAAGTGTTGGGAATCTGCGAGAGCAGATGGAACGGATGTGGAAGGTGCCAACTACCAACTGGAGAGACAATAATCTACTCCGGTCACCCAGAGGACGATCACGAGCACACCGAGGGAGTAGCCATCATGATGTCACCAACAGCGGCTAAAGCTCTTATGCAGTGGGAACCAATCTCCTCCAGGATAATGACAGCCAGGTTCAACTCAAAAGGAAAAAAGGTTACAATCATTCAATGCTACGCACCTACAAACGTCTCAGAAAAAGAGAAGAAGGAGGATTTCTACAGTCAGCTACAAACAGTAATGGACAACGTCCCAAAGAGCGATATCAAAATCCTGATGGGTGACATGAATGCGAAACTGGGAGGAGACAATACAGGAAGAGAACTCACCATGGGTCGCGAAGCCCTCGGTGAAATGAACGACAATGGTGAACTCTTCTCAGACTTCTGCGCCTTCAATGATTTGGGGATTGGTGGCAGTGTGTTCAAACACAGGGATATACACAAGGCGACATGGATTTCACCAGATGGACACACCAAAAACCAGATAGACTTCATTTCAATCTCAAGGAAGTGGAGACGGAGCCTACTGGACACAAGATCGAGGAGAGGAGCAGATGTGGGTTCAGACCACTATCTAGTACAAGGGACTTTCAAGGTGAAGCTGAAAGCCTCGAGGATACCTGAGGATAGGCCACAATGCAAGTTCAACACGCAAAAACTGAAGGACACAACCACAAAGGACACTTTCACTGCAACTGTCAGAGCAAAGCAGGAAACACTACGTGGCACCACTGAGGAATCATCCGTGGAAGACCATTGGAACTCTCTGAAGGTAATTTTCAACGAAACGTGTTCAACGGTTTTAGGAAGAAAGAAGAAACAAGACAAGGAATGGCTCTCAACGGACACTTGGAAGCTAATAGAGGAGAGGAGAATGGTGAAAGAGAAGATGACTCAATGCAAAGATGGACAAGAGAAAGAGACGCTGAGCTCAACTTACACAACACTGGACAAAGAAGTGAAGAAGAGTGCTAGGAAGGACAAAAGACAATTCTACGACAACCTGGCTACTGAAGCTGAGAAGGCAGCAGGCAAAAGGGACCTGAGGACACTATATCAGATTACCAAGTCTCTATCCGGGAAGAGATCAACACAAGTGAAACCTATAAAAGACAGCCAAGGGAACCCAATTACCAAAGAAGAAAGACAGATTAAACAATGGGCGGACCACTTCAAAGGACTCTTGAACCGACCACCACCTACAACCCGCCCAGAAATACCAACAACAGCACGTACACAACTGCAAGTTGACACCAATCCTCCAACGAAAACTGAAGTCATGAATGCAATCAAGCTTCTGAAAGCTGGAAAAGCAGCTGGACCAGATGGAATAACCCCGGAAGCACTGAAAGCGGACCCAGAAACGACAGCAGATATGCTGACTCCATTATTGCAAAAGATCTGGAAAGAGGGAAAGGTGCCTACTGACTGGAGGAAAGGCTACCTAGTGAAACTACCAAAGAAGGGCGACTTAGGACTCTGCAAGAACTGGCGAGGAATCATGCTCCTGTCGACGCCAAGTAAAATCCTGAGTCGCATCATCCTGGAGAGAATAAAGGACGCACTGGATACAGAACTCCGACCAGAACAAGCTGGATTCAGGAAAGGCAAATCATGTTCTGACCAAATTGCAACTCTACGCATTATCATCGAACAAAGCATGGAATGGCAATCAAATCTCTACCTCAACTTTATAGACTTTGAGAAGGCTTTCGACAGCGTTGACCGCGAAGTAATTTGGAAACTACTCGAGTACTACGGCGTACCCCAAATATTCATCAACCTTATTCAACAGCTGTACGACAACGGCACATGTCAAGTGATCCACAACGGAAAACTCAGCGAAGCGTTTGGAGTAAACACAGGAGTCAGACAAGGGTGCTTATTATCACCAATGATATTCCTAATTGTGGTGGACTGGATTATGCGTCAGACAGTGGGAAACGAGAAGACAGGGATATCCTGGACCAACGTGAAGAACCTAGAAGACCTGGATTTCGCAGATGATTTATGTTTGATGTCACACAAAATCGAAGACTTACAAGCGAAAACCGACAAACTGGTCGAAGAAGCTGGCAGCAAAGACAGGACTCCAGGTGAACATAGACAAGACGGAGGTTATGAAAATAACCAACCACCACCACCAACAACAACAACAGCAACATCCAGCGCCAATCACCATCAACGGGAGGGATTTGAAAGAGGTTACTTCATTCACTTATCTAGGAAGCATTGTCTCAACTACAGGAGGAACGGACGAGGATGTCAAATCGAGAATCGGGAAGGCGAGAAACACATTCATCAACCTGAAACCAATCTGGAAATCTTCGTCACTCAGCATCAACAACAAAATTCGGATTTTCAATACAAACGTCAAGTCAGTCAGTTCTTCTATACGGATCAGAAACTTGGCGGGTCACAAAGAATATTTCCAACAGCCTGTTGCAGACCTTTATCAACAACTGTCTTCGCTCCATACTGAAGATTAGATGGCCGGAAAGAATCACAAACAAGAAGCTATGGGAACAAACAAAACAGGAACCAATCGCTCAACAAATATGCAGGAGAAAGTGGAGATGGATTGGACACTCGCTGAGGAGGCCGTTGGGTGACATCGCGCGTCAGGCCAGCTCGAGTGGAACCCGAAAGGGAAGCGGCGAGTGGGACGTCCAAGGGTGACATGGAGGAGATCGTGTGGTGAGGAACTGAAACAGTATGGATTAACATGGATGCAAGTGAAAAGTACAGCAGAAGACAGAAGCAAGTGGAGGCGTGCAGTTGAAGCCCTATGTTCCACTAGGAACCCAAGGGAGCAATAATAATAATAAACTAGTAGGGTATAGCTAACAAACCCAACCAACAACTAATTGCCCAGAAAATATGCCGAAGGAAATGGAGATGGATTGGACACACACTGAGGAGCCAGTTGAGTGACATTACGCGCCAGTCAGGCCCTCCAGTGGCACCCAAATCGGAAACGACGAGTACGACGTGGGTTCGAGGGTGAGACAGAGGAGATCGTGTGTGAGACGAAAGCTGATGGGCAATCGTGAGGCTAGCTGAAAAGAACTGCAGAGAAGACGATGAAATTGAGATGCGTTGTTGAAGCTCAATGTTGCACTCAGAACCCAAAGGAATAACAATAATAATATGCTATATAAAATGTAAAAACCACTTCACTTACGCGGAAATAGACCAAGTAAAAGCTGATGTTTGCCAGTGGAATAAAGTAATCTTCATAAAAATATATTTACTATCTTTTTTGTTCACACGATCCCTTACTAATTACTTTATTCGTTGTAATGAGTGGATCAACAACAATATTGGCAGTTGATTTGCTCTTGTTTCTCAAAGATTTACTGGGAGCAGTACTATTACTACTACTGCCAACAGCATCATTCTCATCGCCATGATCGTGTAAATATAAACGACGAAATTTACCCTTTCTTGAATTAGATTCTTTTGTATTAGAGTCTGGAGGTTGACTTCCACTAATTCTGAAAAGAAAACCACAGGATAGACAACCAGAACGTTAGAAGGAACATTTCGGGGAGCGATTCAAGTGACTGACAGATACATCCAACTTGATCACTACAAAACACCTACCTGAATGGGATACATAAGGGGATAAGCTCGACTAATATAGTGTCTAAAGTTCTGAGTTTAATATTCATACGTAGACTAGGCGTTGCTCGGCATAAACACACCCAGGAAAAACAGATACGCTTTAGGCCAGGAAGAGGGTACATTTATCAAACTTCCACCCTTCGACAGGTTCTAGAACACAGGTGTACATACCAGTGTCCAACACTTGTCATATCTCAACCTGAATGTGTCATTTCACTCTGCTGACCGGAAAGTGTTGCAGCAATGTCTGGCTGTGAAGTGAGTACAGAGAAAGTTTATCGCAGTGATCATGAAAATAGTCGAACTCACGCATTAGTGTAAGAGGTTATGGGGACCTGTCATCCAAAATGACATGATCATTGTTCCCATTTTTATTCAAATTTCATCATGGATGTACTATTAGAAGATGTAACCCGAGTCGACTTTACCGACTAGGCGAAACAGTCTCAACGACTTAGAGTGTGGCCATGATATTGTCTATCTAGATGAAGACACAGACGAAAATTCAGACTATTCTGAAAACCTTAACCAGAAATCTTAGAGAATGGTTGGCATGCGATTCGCCCCTGTCAAATGTGAGGTGATGTTGCAGGACTGAAGCGGTGTTGGATATCTGGCCTTCAGTACTATCATCATCTTTTCTATCTTTCAATCTATCAACTTGCTGTTGATACTTTTCCCTTTGTTTACTAATGCGTAAATCATTCAAAGTAGGTGGAATTGCAGACAAGTTAGCTGTTTGATTCATTGATAAATCGAAGACATTCTGTACATGAAAATGACACAAGGTAGACAGAGAGAGTGTGAGAAGAAATCGGTAGAAGTTGAAAGAAAACACAGTGAAAAACTATGCAGTATAACCTAATTAGGATTATAGTTGAGAATCAGTAGACTGTGGTGACAAATAATACAATTAGATGACATCAATTCCCAGTCACTGTCACTGACTGTTGGTTTCATCTGTGCACACACCACAGCTTAGCAAGGGTTCGTGCGAAATTTTTGAAAAAATTAACCTACGCTGATTTAGCCGAATTATTTATGATTATTTAAACACAAACTTGGTATATTATTGGCACCGACAGATGCGTCTTAACCAATGTACACCATCGGTTGGGAATCAGGGCTTTCTAGCTCCTCTAGGTAGATAAGCATATCCATCAGTCCGGTTGTAAGCGCCAGACGTTACCACTTACTCTTTTAATTTTGACAGGAACAATCCATCTGCGTGGAGGCATTGAATAGGACTCAACTGGCAGAGGCTATCAACGCGCGACCAAATGAAAGCATTTCCAGAGGAATACCGAAGTCTACCCACCTTAGGCCGGCACCAGGTCAGCTTTTTGAGTGAGATTCATACCTGTAGCGTGCAACTTTGCCGTGATTACAGTAGCGTATATGTATTTGTACCAGATCTCCAACTGCATTGTAACATCGCATCTTTATATGTCTTATTACTCTTTCTTATGTCTAACGGCATTCCACATCTTTCCACTACATCAATTTCATTTCTTCCACAAAGGAAGTGTGTTCCAACTTGTAAACCCTAATGTTAGTCTCTTTTCGATAAGACCCACTAACAGCGTCTTCCGAACTAATGATAAAACGAAATTCACAATTAATTGATGAAGGAAAAAAGATCACCAAGTAATAGGCAGTTATTATATATCCAAACCAAGTTCACTTTTAACAGTTTGAAAAAATTTGGGCATTGGGTAAGTGATATTCACATTATTATAAAAGTTATTGTACTTTCCAATGAATGACGTTACTGATGTTTCGCATTTTAATGCCAATAGCTTCTTATTTTATATGTAAACTTTCCAGAAATGCAGTAATACATTCTACTTCGTAACATTAACTTATATTAATATTCCTTGTGTTCCGAGTGGAACACAGAGCTTCAACAGAACATCTCCAGTTTATCCTGTTCTCTGCAGTCCTCTTTAGTTGACTCCACGATTAACCAGAAGCTTTTATTCACCCCCACCCCGTCACCAGAGCTCCTCCTTGTCAACTTCGGACTCACACCCAACTCGTCGTTTATACATTCGGGGGTCTGCCTGTCACGTGATGTCACTTGATGGTCTCCTCAGTGTGTGCGCAATCCATCCCATTTTCTTAGGAATCTATATTGGACAATAGGTCGTTGGTTGATTTGCTGCCAGAGTTTTTCGGTGCTGACCAGCAGCCATTTAATCTTCAGTATCGAACGGAGACAGGTGTTCATAAAAGTCTGCAATCTCTTGGTTAAATGCATAGTGTTGAAAATCTGAATCTTGTTCTTTATTCTGAGGGTAATAGATTTCCATACTGGTTCTAGATGAATGAAGGTCTGTGTCCCTTTCCTGATTCTGCCCTTCACATCTTTATCTGTGCTGTCTGTCACCTTTAGCTGAAACAATGCTGCCTAGAAAAGTACAAGAAGTGATTTCCGTAAGATTTCTTCCCTTGAAAGTGACTGGTGCTTGTTGGTGGTGGTCGTCGTCGTCGTCGAGTACGTCCGCTATCTCTGCCTCCTTCATGTTCACTTGAAGTCACGTCTTCACTGTCTACGTCTTCTTCCAAATTATTGTTTCCCATCCATAGATGTTTACTGAAACACTTTCTGAATTATTTCACAGTCGACGCTATCGAAGGTTTTAAAAATCCATGAAGTTGATTTAGAGATTTGACTGACATTCTATGCTCTATTCGATAATGATGCGTAGAGCTGCAATTTCATCAGCACATGATTTGCTTTTTCCTGAACCCAACTGGTTACGGGCAGAGTTTTGCATCCAGGGCATCTTTTAGTCGTGACTTAATACTTTGCTTAGAATGGCCACGAGCTTGATTCCACACCAAGTCTTTGCAAAGGTCTAAAGTAGCCCTTATTTGGTAGTTTGACAAGGTAGCTCTTCTTCCAATCGCCAAACACCTTTCCTTCCTCCCAAATCTTCTGCAATAGTGGGCTGAACGTATCCGCTGAGGTTTCTGGGTTTGTTTCCCATGTTACTGAAGGAATTCTGTCTGTTCCTGCTGCCCTATCGGCTTTCAGTAACTTACTCTTAGATTCTAAAGTGAACCTTTTTAGTATGGATACACAATTAAAACACCACATCGTCAGGGATATTTATAAAATAATTTACGACAATCCTCTAGTGTTATACTACTCTTTTATATATATGAACAATTAGATCCAGGTCAATGGAACTAGTGGGTAATTGTTAAAATCAATAACGAAATAACACTTACTGCGGATTTAATTCCCTGTGGTAATTTTCTTTCATTCCCTGCAATGTTCTCTTTGTCACTACTACAACTATCAGGAGACTTCGAACCTGTAATACAGTCGGTGAGCTTCGTCTTTGATCTTGTCTTTTGTTTCCCCTTTTCGACAGTAGATGATGGATTATTCTGTCTGTTGACAACAGTACCACTTCTAGCGCAGATATTAAGTGGATTCTTAGCATCAACTTTAAATGTTAACTGACCAGGTCGACGAAAGCATGTTTCAATAATACGTCCAGTTTGTTGTGGTACACTTTCAACAATATCAGGGTTGTTTGTTTTTCTTACTTTTAAACTTTTTGATCTACTTTTACCATCTGTTTTATTGATATCATCATTCTGCTTCATAGTTTTGGTATTCTTACCTTTATCACAATCATCATATCATCATCATCCTCACTGTCTGCAGAACGAATTAACCGACGTTTAACAACCTTCTTTGTCTTTCTCTTAACAACTGGTGGTTCAAGAAACGATGATGTATCTATAATAGGCTTCGAATTTAAACGAGCTTGCCTGACTAAATGAGATCTTGTTGAGCAATCTTCATGATGAACAACAACATTGTTTTCATTTCTGTTGACAACACCAACAGGAGGCGGCACAGTCGCAGTCTCAGTCGTTGAAGTGGGAACAACATCCGAATCCTGGTTGCACAAAGCTTGTAAATTAATAACCGGAGATTCAGATGTCGAGTGATGCTGTAGTGAATTTTCCAAGTGTCTGAAGCTGTTTATTGGAGAATGGATTGGACTATTGAAATCTAAGTTATCATTAATCTCCTTTTCCACAGTTTTTCTTGTCAAAGTTTCCTTTTCCGCATCATCGTTGTTTTGAGAAACACAAGTACGTGCAGTAGCGAGTGTTTCGGGCAATTCTTCTTCTTCCGTGACGGGAAATGACGGAACTGCTGTAAATCAAGAGTATTAAACACAAAAGATATTTACAAGTGATCGACATGACTATAATTAAACTGGATCATTTAGAACTCATAAAAGTGTAATCACTGAATCAATCATAAGATTCAGACATGCTTCATAGATCACAGCAGTTCACACCACCTATGAAGGTGGTCCAAACCAAGAGTCAAAGACTCTATGGATGGGCGAGTGTTCTCGTCAGACCATTCCTAACTCTTTTTAACCTAATCCTGTATTAACTAATACAAGACGGCATAACACATGGCCCAACCATCTTAATCAATGCAATTTCAAAATCTCATTGATTAACTTCCCCTCTTCACCTAACACAATACGCCTAACCTTATTGTTACGAAGTATATTACACCATGAAAGATTGAACGAAGGTACCTACGGTCAAATACAACGCTAGTTTTGCTCATATATTTCAGGTTTAATAGTTATGTCTGAATCGTGAAGGAGGACAACGCGAACTGCCACATAGTGCACAAGTCCCTTGATGGTCAGTTGGATATCACGTTTACGGGCCCAGATACCCGACTTTCAACTAGTAAGTCAGAAGTTTAAAGGCGGTTTCAATTAATTCGTAATATGATTGTTTATTCCTCCTCAATGAAGAGACAGACATATTTGTTTACTAAATGCAAAAAATACGCATATAGTTGATGAATTGTAAAAGTGTTCGTAAATGTATTGCATTTTCATTATTCCCTTGGATTCCGAGTGGAACATAAGGCTCCACCAGTACATGCCCATTTTACCCTGTTATCTGCTGTTTTTTTCCAGTTGGCTCCACGATTGCCTATACACATCCATCTCCTCCACATCACCCTCGGACGTCCAACTCGTCATTCCCTACTTAGGTTCCACTAGACAGTCTGATGCGTGGTGTCACACAGTGGTCTTCTCACCCTGTGCCTACTCCACTTTGCTCGGAATATTTGTTGGGCAATAGCTTCTTGGTTGGTTTGGTGCTGAGGGAGCTCCTTGTTCCTCAGCCTTTTTAACCGGCTTTCTGATCTTCAGTATGGAGAGAAAGGAGCAGGTGTTGATTAAAGTCAGTAGTAGTAGTAGTAGTTTGTTGGAAATGCTTTTGGTGGCACGCAAACCAAGTGTCTGAACCATGCAAAAGCACTGACTTGACATTGAAAAGCATTGAAAATCCTAATTTCGTTCCTCCCCTTATGCTGAATGCAGTAGATTTCTACACTGATTCCAGATTAATGAAGGTTTGTCTTGCTTTTACGATCCTGACTAGCTTTGACATCACATCCTCCGTACTAATTAATTACCTGTAGTTAAAACAATAACTGTTTAGATAAATGTAAAAGGTGAATTCCTTTAGATACATACACACACAGTAAGGCATTTAATTTTATGACGGTGTTAACTGGGAGATACCAAACACCTGTACACACTCTTAAAAGCACATAAAACTCATCTACTCGTGATGCTTCTCAGTCCTTTGTTTTTAATATGTGTTCTCATAAGAAATATATATTGGGAAAGGGTACAGAAAACTAACGGTCATAGAATGAATTTAAATTGAAGTTAGTGTGAAAATACTTACACAAATTTTCCTCAAAAGGCTGTGATGAAGGACCAACATTTGAAGTTTCCCCAGGCGGTAATGGATTTAACTGAAAATTTCGAGGAGGAAAGGCATATACATATAGAACAACAATGCGATATTTAAAAGCTATTTTCTGAGGTGACTTACACCGAAACCAGATAGTGAAATCACAAAACTAGTGAAAATGGCAGCGGGGGGCGGAGAGGTTATCAGTGAGATTTAAGGGCTCTTTTGATGCGTAGAAAACTGCTTTCAAAGCAGAATGAAATTGTGACACTTATAAAAAAGAGCTGTAATAACTTTAGTTTAATGGTTGCACATCATTATTATTATTCCCTTAGGCGGAGCATAGGGATTCAACAGCACATCTCCACTACATTCTCTGAAGTCCTTTTTAGCTGGCTGAACGATTACCCACGAGCTCTTATCTCTTCCTCACACGATCTATGGCTATGTGGTCTATCTGAGTCCAGCGTTGATTTGGTGATGGAGGTTGCCAGGTTATACAATGTCTTTCTTTGTGCCTAAAGTTAGTGCTGACTAGGAACAGATGATTATCTGAGCAAAACTGTAGAAGACAATCACCGTTGTCGGTTTGTCGGCAAGGTACTCCATACGTACCACCTACATACTTCTCAATCTGGCACAACTTCCCTACTTTGGCATTGAAGTCGCCTGCTAAAACAACTATGTCTGAACGTTTTGCTTTTTGCTGCAAATTAGACAGTTTCAGGTAGAAGTCATCTTTTAATTCATCCGAACTGCAGTCTGTTGGGGCGTAAGCGGAGACTACGAAAAGGCAACGACGGGTAGCGCCGTCTTTACTTCTTTTAACGGACCCATTCAGACGGACCGCACACATACGACTATCTACTGGGATCCAGTCAAGAAGTGATTTTTCCGCCCTAACACTTAATGCTATCCCTACACCTGCGAGTCCTCGTGAGCTAGCTGAGGGGTCTCCCGACACCCTTAAAGTGATTTTTGCAGATTTACCTTGTTGACCGGGTGAGGTCAAGTGAATGACCACACTCGGGTCTTGTATGCGTGTCTCCGAAACACAACATACATCCATGGCTCTAGATTCCAGAGTTCTTGCTAGTGATGCCTGTTGTCCGATTTGGAAGAGGGTCCTGACGTCGAAAGCTCAAATATGAAATTGGCGACGTGGCTTTAAAAGGCTATCTGGGGTGTTCCTATGGCTCTCATCGTTTTCTGTGGTCGCAGAGTGAAGTGAAGATGACTCACTAGCCTGAAGAATAATGCTAACTGTAGTAGAGAAGCAAGATGAGGAAGGTGATGTGAGTAAGGGAGAGTGATGCTCAGGAAGGCTTCGTGTGCCTTTGGATGTGTGTGGGCGGTTGTTACTTCCCGGCTGCCCACACCGTGGAAGTTGGTTGAGTCTTCGGATACCTGGAATAGAGAAAAGGTTAGTGTTGCGTGACCGCAGAGCCCAGGAGACAACTGCTTGAGGCCGGTCACACGCGGCCTGTTTTTGTTTGTTCTTTTTTGTTTGGTGTGTCTCAGTAGCACATTTATCACTTCCGCCCTGTGACACGACAGCAGGAAGCGCGATCGTTGTTAATCCGAGCCCCGACCGATCCGGCATGATATTTTGTGAATTTGTTTGAATCATAGTATTGGATTGGGTAGCTGCTTTTTGTCTAACCGCTATCCAAACAAACTTTCTGGCATGGTAGGACCTACAGGGACATAAGTTCCAGCCAGTGTAGCTCGTTGGGTCATTGCGATATGCAAGCCCGACCACCACGTCAAGGTAGCAGCTATCGGTCGGTCGGGCATTGATACAATTCTGTTGATAGTGCTTAAATTCCTGTCACGTGCAACTACAAACTAACTCGAAAGCCTAACAACCTAAATTTACTTTGTATAAATAATACCTACTACTTATCTGTTAGTCAAACAAATACCGAGTTAGATATCATCATTTGACGGACGCTCACTACTCGGGGTGTTGTTGGACTATTGATCTCCGTAATATTAGTGCGAAAAACTTCGATACTTTAGTGGTACGTAATTCCATATTATTGTGTTTTTTGGATGCATCACACAATAGAAGTGGACGTTGTTTCAAAAACAATTTATTGATCATTATCACAACTGATATCATAATGGACAAGAATGTTTGGTGACTATATAAACTTAAAATATTTTGCACGAAAGATTCTACTGGATAATGTCAGATATTAACTACAAGTAAATAAGCATGACCAACTTGATCATCTAATCCCACTCCTAAAAGGAAAACATTCCACGGAAATAAAGTGGAAATATTCAACACTAACAAACAAGCAAACTGAAAACCACGAACCTAAATTTATTTTCCTCAACGTCAAATGCTAACGCTTACCGGCAAATTGATAAAGTTGCATCTAAATCAACCGTCGTGTCGCCCAATATACTTGGACACTTTGTCACTTGGTTAGACGAGCCATTTGAATCCAACAAACACATGGTCTCCTTTACGAGGTTAATCACTGATATTCCCAGTCCCATTTGTGAACATAAGGATTCATGTATGTTTAAAAAGGCATTCTACAATAACATGATCAATAAAATGTTATTAATAATACCTTGATCCTTTCTCTAGCTTCTTCATATGACTGGAGACGCATTAGTTCAACATGACACTTCACCAGGCCGATATTAGCCTTCTGTGCAGCCATTTTTTGAGTATTAAGCTCGATTTGCAATTCTGATACTTTCTTTGCGAGCGAAACATTGTTGTTACGGAGAGATGCCCCTGAATTGATAGATTGATTCACTAAAATGAAACAATACATCGGTATACGATAGATAATGACAATACTTATTCTTATAAAAGACGGGTATAAGAAACATACGCTTTTGTTAATTAGTGCATTGGGACAGGTTGGAAAACCTAATACACTGATGTCGTCAGAAAGGAATTCCCTCCCCTGAAGGTTGAAATTAATGGAGGTATATCCAAGTACTAATTTGCAGTCAAGAAGAAAATGAGATGTGAGTGTATCTGGAATATAAACATGAATCGAGTGTCGCACCATTCGGATCGTTTATCAGATTGCAACGTCTCAGCCCGAGAGATTTTCGCCGAGGGTGAAGTGAGTAGTATTCTTTTTGAAATTTCGGTGACTAGTTCGTTAAGAACACGGGGAAAATAAATAGGTGGGAGAGGATGTAGTTTATGTTACATCCTACCCAGCTTCTGATCATCTCATCTAACCTGATTTGTCCATTTTCCCTCCAACCAGGAGGGTGCTTCGGGAACACAATCGAATAGTCAACACTCCTTTATCTCAAAACAAATACGACCTAAATTTGTGCTTAATTTTGAGGCAGCTTTATGTAGACATTTTTAGGGAATATCTTAAGATATACAAGTCCCAAAATTACCTCTAGATTCCTCCACGGGAAAAGTCTGCAGACCTCTCAAATTTCTCCAATCACCGGAAGATGTTAAATGACTTTAGGACGAAAACGGCCAGAGTAAACAATAGACACCAAAGTCAAATGACCTTGATTTTACTAATCAGATAGCTCAGCATTACAAATGGTTGTTAGTCATAAACCTTGTTGAAACTGTCTCCTAGATTTGGTTTTCAACTTCTCTGTGGAAAATGTGTTGATAGGAAGGAATGAAACATGCATATTGATGTAAGTATAAAACTTGGGCATTGGTAGAGTGTAACTCCATTATGGATAAGATTTTATTTTGATAAACCACACAGTGTTACACAGTAATATTAACTGATGACGTTTCGAGCACAAATTATTATATATATATATATATATATATATATATATATATATATATATATATAGGTCAAACTGGTAGATCGGGGGTAATCAGATTGTCGGAACATACGAATTTAGCCAAGGTAAGAAGTAAGTAAGTGTATATTCCGTGATTTAAAGAGAAGCAAGGATCGTTCGACGGTAAAGGGACTGAACAAGTTTCTTCGTTTGTCCGTCAAGCTTGCTGAAGCGAACGCAAAGATTTTCTTCTTGAAGAATTGTCTCGAGAAACATGAATATCCTAAAGTATTTTGGAAACATCTCAGACGAAATCACATATCGCCTAACTCACGTACACTGAAACGACACACTCTCAATCAAATCGATGAAGTGCGATCAAGACTACCTGAGCTAGAACAGAATATCTCAAAAAGCTCCCACGTTCTCTATGAACTATCTGAAGACGAAAGAACATCATTCGAAAACTACTCCAATACGGTTACAAAGAAAAGAACAGATGATGTCATAATGAAACTAAACCAAAGCCTAAAGTCCGTTACAAAAGAAACAGTCTTTCCTACTTGTCCAGAAAAATACGTATACAATTATTCTGATATTCCACTATCTCCAATTCAAATGCAAATCTTAGCACTTGGACCTAAGTTTTGTGATGCAACGTCAAAAGTGAATGAACTGAACACGAAAGTCCAATTCGAGAATTTAATCGACCAGATGAAAGATCTGACCCCCATCTCATATGAGAATGCAGACCTTTTCAAATCAACCGTTTTAAGTTGCTGCCTCGATTACATCAACAAAAAACCCAGCCTTCGTAACGTACTTTCCAAAAAACATCGAAAGCAACTGAAAGAATTGAAGGATAATGAAAACTTGATCATCACACGACCAGATAAAGGATCCGGAATCGTCTTGATGAACAAATCAGACTACTTAAACAAACTCTTGGTGATACTATCTGATGAGAAAAAGTTTCAGAAACAGTCTCCACAGAAAGATCCCACCGAACAGACGGAGCTCCAGCTAACAAAGATATTGAAAAAAATGAAAGACGAATCAGTTATCAGTTCAAAACTATACGAACAATTGCGCCCATCTGGTTCTACAACACCGCGCATGTACGGCTTACCTAAAGTGCACAAACAAGACGTCCCACTCCGCCCAATACTAGATATGATAGACTCCCCATATCATACAATCGCGAAATGGCTGGTGGAGATTCTCGGGCCAGTGAAAGAGAAGCTTTCAAGACACAGCCTCCGCGACACATTCGACTTTGTTGATTCAATTAAGAATGTCAATGTGGCAGAAAAGAAAATGGTCTCCCTGGATGTTGTCTCTCTCTTCACCAACGTTCCATTGACAGAAACCGTTTGTTTCCTTTGCGACTACATTCAATCCAATAGCATCGATGTTGGTATACCGATCCATTACCTGAAAGAACTGTTACTACGATGCACCTTCAACGTATACTTTAGTTTCAACAAGGAAATATACAGGCAAGTAGATGGGGTAGCAATGGGTTCTCCCTTAGGACCCCTATTAGCCGACTGCTTTTTGGCTAGCTTAGAAAACAACCCCCTATCATCAACTATCAACGACCTTCATCTCTACAAGAGATACATCGATGATACTTTCATTATTTGTGATGAGAATTGTGATTTAAAAAACCTACTTCAAATCTTCAATAACGCCCACCCAAACATCGACTTCACACTTGAGACTGAATCCAACGGAATGTTTCACTTCCTCGACGTCCAGCTGACAAGAAACGCCAACAACTCTCTGAAAAGATCCATATACAAAAAACCTACTTGGAATGGAGAATTCATCAACTTCCAAAGCTTCGTGCCCCTAAGCAGAAAGAGGAACCTGATATACGCTCTTTCCTCGAGGATTCGGAAGATATGCAGCGAGGAAGTGATTGAAGAAGAACTGCGTAATCTCCGAAAAACCTTGATGGAAAACGGTTTCCCACCCAGGTTCATAGACAGAAATCTCAAATCTAAGACTAAGACTTCAGAACAAGTCCAATCAGTTCCAAAGAAAACACTTCTGCTTAATCTAGAATTCAAAGGTGATATCGAAGCAGAAATCCTTCGCAAACGTCTCTGCAAATCTCTAAGGAAAACATACTTCGCCGCGAGCCTACGACTGACGTTTTCTTGCAAGAAACTGTTCAGCCAGAACGTGAAAGACAAGCCGTCGCATTGGGCCACCTCAACGTGCATATACCAGTTTACTTGCTCTTGTGGAGCTGAGTACATCGGCCGTACCATGCGCCGACTTGAAAAACGCGCTCGCGAACACTACCCAGCCTGGCTAGTAAAAGGAGACCGAAAACGTATATACAGTTCAGTGACAGAACATCTGGTCAACTCAGGACATTCAGCGCCTTTTGAAAAATCCTTCAAAGTAATATACAAAATTCAATCAAACCTATCAAAGGGAATCAAGTCAAGACATCTGGACATAGCTGAGGCGCTAGTTATCCAAAAGCTCAAACCCACACTTTGTATCCAAAAGAATTACGTCCAACCCCTCTCCCTACCATGGCCATCATAAACAGGTAAAAATTTTTTTAGTAATGACAATCTCATCACCTTTCTTATCTAAACTTCCTGTTTATTCATGTTATTTTAAGTTTTCTTAAACCCTGTTTACACTACCATATTTTCATACCCACTCTTCCTGTTTATTTTGTCATTTTACTATTTCTACATATTTAATCCCTGATTGTATAAACAATTATTCATCATATTAGTTTTTTATCCAAACATCCTGTATATTTTGTTATTTCTACATTTCTAACCCCCAATTTCACAATGTCAATCTTCTTAGTTATTATAATGCTACTTTGTTTCAGTTTTATCCGTCCTCCTGTTTATTATGGCGTTTTAATTCCTAATTGTAATTTTATTAATTTGACCCTTAACCGGGAATTATTCTGGAACTTTCCCATCCATTTGTTATAAATACACGAATGTACAGCCTAGATGATGACTTCGTCGGAAAGAAAATTTTCTTCGCTGCAACTGACTTCTTAATAATTCCTATAATGCAATGTGTATATTCCGTGAAGTAAGTAATTTAGAAAAAAGCTCAGCAGATGCACTACATGCAATAACACACAACCACACAATAGGGTGGGAGACGGTTAAGATTCTAAGAAGTAATCTATGTAGGTGGAGAAAGAGATGGATCACTGAATCCTGATTCATTGAATCTACACCCAACACATGCAACAGAAATGACTCAATGCAAATACCAGAAATATGGAAGATATTATCACCACCAGTCAAATGAGAAGAGGATAGTAAGTAATCTCAAAATTATATTTCAGTTCAAGCAAATCACAACATTCTAACAAATTACCTATTATAACTATAAGAGCATTCGTCTTATTTCCCATCTAATTGTATTTGATCAGTAACACTCATATTATTATCTCTGAATGTACATTATCTCATATTGATTTTTATTCAAATATCTACTCATTTCCATACATATATATAAATGAAGGAAAAAGTTGTGTGAGTAACTTGATATGATTATGAGCAATAATTTGTGCTCGAAACGTCATCAGTTAATATTACTGTGTAACACTGTGCGATTTATCAAAATAAAATCTTATCCATAATGAAACATGAATATGTTGAGCCTTAATGACTCCGCAAAAGTATTGTCAGGCTATTGATGATTGTACATTCAGATGCAACCACTCCACACGAGGAAGTCTGTAAAGGTTAGTAAGTCGTACATAATTGGTGACACTTCTCGAAACCTAATGCTCTCCTTTAGTAATATATTGCGTATATGCAACCAGTATCTGCTACAGATGGAGAAACAGAGAATACATTAGTTTGATATGTCTATAACAACTTCTAATGAGAATATGGGACCAGATTTTGCAGCATATTAGATATATGTACAATATATGATTCATATTAATTACAAATATATCGTAGGTACACTTAGGGAATTCCTTGTAAATTGAATACCACTTTTCACCTAGAAGAATCTGATTGCTTAAATCAAGGTCATTTGACTTTGGTATCTATTGTTTACTCTTCACCTATATAATCCTGCATAAAATTCAACTTAAGTTGAATGTGACATGCCTGACTTTTGAACAAGTCTTCTCGACATATTCACTAGTCCTCTACGGTGCATAAGCCGTATGCTACTATTCAGTTTTCGCTGTCTCGACTTCGGATAATTGATACTAACGTGTGACTCCGTCTCACTCATTTTAACTGCACACAAAATTTCAATTTGAAAGTTCGCTAAGGTCGTTGGTATTCAATATCCATTTTCGTTTTTGCGAGATAGTATGAACCAATTTGATTTATTTGTGCTCGCCTTTGGATTGTGAGGTAGAGGTTTCTGATCTTCGTTAAACGTCTGCGTAGCTCATCTCGCCACTCGACTGTCGTAGCTTTGGTTGACTCCAAAAGGAGTAGTGCAGAGATTAATTGTTTGTGGTTTGTAGTATGAGGTGTGTTAAGACTGTTACTACTGTGAATCAAGTTGATCCTTTCACCAGTTAGTCCTTCGGTATCATCATCAATAATAATAATAGATATGATTAGTGAAGGTATTCAGACTAACAGAAAAAGAATAAGAAAACGTAACAACAGTCAGTCAACCGGCATATATATATATACCGGTAATAATGATAATAACAGGTGTAGTTAAAGCTGTCAGGAGAGTAAGACGGAAGAGAATGTAAAGAAGTAAAACGACAAGTTTAATTGTCTACGCTTGAATAGTGTATGCGATTTTAAGGGGATAGGCTATTTGGATGCAGTCCTTGTGTCGCTGCATGGTTGTCCAGCCTTCGCTTAAAGGAGTCCACAGACGGTGCCATAGCTACATCTGCCGGTAAGGAGTTCCAGGGACGGAAAACCCGCAGTGAAAGGAATTGGTAGCGCACCCGGGTCCTTGCCCTCTGATGAGCTATCCTTCTAGGATTTCCACGAGGGAGCCTATACCTACTCAATGGCAGAACACCTTTGTTTAGGTGATTCTGATCATTTGTTATTTTGTAGGCAGTAATTAAATCCCCCTAAGACGACAGTAGCTAAGTGTGAATTGGCCTAATTTCTTCAGCCTTTCATCATATAGTTTATTTCGGAGGCCAACCACTCCCTTTGTTGCCCGTCTTTGGACTCTTTCCAAGAGATTGGCGTCTCTTCTAAGCAGTGCGGGTGCAGTAATATTATGCACTTCAAAGTGCGGTCTGACGTATGTTTTGTACAACCTTAGAAATAGCTCAGGAGTGAGTGCACCTAACTGTCTATGTGTAAAGTGTATGACCGCAAATGCCCTCGCTACATCCCCCATGTAATTTACGCTTGTGTACATTTTCTCCGCTAGAACTAGACCTAAGTCACGTTCCGACGTCGTGCAGGACAAGCTTTCATTGCACAGAGTGTCACTTGCATTCTGCAGTCTACAGGTGCGTAACTTCACTACTTTGCACTTTTTCAGGATGAAAGTCATGCCACTGGCCACAGCCAAGTCTTCCAGAAGGTTTAGATCTTGCTGTAGCCTATCTGAGTCCTCCGGGCACTTTATCGCCCTCCATATCTTCACGTCGTCAGCGTATAGAAGAGTCATGCAGCTTAGACAGCATGGTAGATCATTGATAAAAATCAAAAACATTGGTGGTCCTAGGATAGAACCCTGCGACATTCCTGATGACGAGCTGTGCCAAGATGATCGAACTCGATTGACCTTAGTGCAAAACTGCCTTTCAGCTAGGTAGTCGTTTAGCCACGACAGAAGTGGCCTACCTATACCTGTCTGGCTTATTTTGTGTAGGAGAAGGTCATGGTGAAGTGTCAAATGCCTTCTCAAAGTCTAGGAAGACCACATGGACTGGAACATTCATTCCCCAGCATGATGTCTAATCGTACCAAGGTGATAATAAGTTAGTAACGCAGGATCTCCCTTTCCTGAAACCGTGTTGGGCTTCATGGAGTATATTAGACCTATCGGGATATTCCCTGATGTGATCGTCAATAATACTTTCCAGTACTTTTCATACCACTGGTCTATAACTAGTGGGATTTTGCTTATCCTCACCCTTGAAGATCGGAGAAAGGATGCTTCTCTTCCATTCCCTTGGCAGTTTCCCCGATTCCTTGGAGTGTTGGAACAAGTCGCATAAGGGCATACAGAGAGCTTTGGCGCACTGCTTCAGAACAGATGGTCTGATACCGTCACAACCTGGGGACTTCTCAGGTGTGAGTCACTGTAGCTTTCTTAGTACTATTGCAGGGTTTATTTGGGGAGTAGCCATTAGGTCTTCCTCCCGTGAAATAGTGGTACCACCATTTTGGTCCGTAACGGTAATACCCACATTACTGTTTAGCTGTTTGGCGAAGGCTAAACTGAATGTTTCAGCCATCTCCAGACTAGTGAGATATTGACCGTTTGGGCCTACTTAGGCGCATGCCCCCTGGTTGGTTGGCTTTCTTTCTGACATGAATCGGTACAAGTTCTTGGGTTTGCTAGGAGCATTTTAGCAAGGTTCGGTCGGTCGGTTTTCGACACAGAACTTTGCACATATGTGCGGCAGTTCAAGTCGCCACACCGCATGTAGCACATAAAGCAAGAGAAGTAGGAGAAATGCATATTAGAGACAGTAAACAGAGGTGTGAGACAAAGGAATAGTAATAACGAAGGACAAAACAGTCTAATTGGAAATCATAAGTCACAAGGAATGGATGCATCTGCACCATTGAGAACGATTTTGAGCCATGTCACCATTTGTTTCCAACCATTGGTTTTTACCGTCCCGAGGACCCCAACCAGGAAGTCTACACCTTCCTACGTGGTTGGCTTAGACTAACTGTTGTCGATTTCATTGACTGGTGTCATGTTTTCGTTTGACCGCCGCTAGCTCTTTTCCAGCCTGGCCCTATATCAGCTAACATTGCCCACTGTCTAGGAAGGCGATGACTAGGCATAATTAACACATGTCCTAACCATCTCAGTCGATGTAATTTCACAGCCTTGTCGACTGATTTCCCCTCCTTACCTAGCACTCGACGCCTAACCTCGATATTGCTCACCTTACTATACCACTTCACACAGGAGATAGAACTCAGATACCTATGATCAAAGACAGCTAATCTTTTCATGTCTTCCGCTCTCAATGGCCAGGTCTCGCAGCCATAAAGGAGGACGGGGCGGACTGATGAACAGTACACACGCCCTTTGGTCGATAGTTGGATATCACGTCTACGCTAGAGACGGCGTAAACTGGCATATGCGAAACTAGCCTTCTGTATTCGTGCTGAGATTTCGTCAGAGATCAACCCGTCGGGGCTGATGGTACTTCCTAGGTAAGTGAAACGGTCAACGTGCTCTTCTACTTCACTTCCCACTTCTAGGAATGTTAGCCTGGAATGACCTCCTGTCCCCTCCTGACTCTTGTATTGCACCGGTTCCTGAGTTCCAGGTGGGCATCATGGTCTATCTGACTCTTAGATACGCGCCACGTAAACCAAGCCTTCCGCTTGGCTTGCAGATTACGTTGCGTGCCTCTCTTTAACCATGATGACTTTCTTTTGGACTGTGTTGTGACTAAAGGGACGGTATCCGAGATTGCTGTATGAATAATCTTTTTTAACACCTCCCAGTCTTCATCCACAGAGAGCTCATCCCATGCTAAGGGCCAGTCTGCGTCGGACAAGAGCCTCCGCATTTCAGCATAGTCAGCCTTGCTGTAACACAGACATGGTCGCGTAACTTCCCACCGCAAATGCTCACTGAGAACGAGGTCGAAACCTATGACTGCATGGTCACTAATTCCTAGAGGAGTCATGATCTGGACCTTTTCAACAAGTAGTTGGTCACTAGTTAGAATGTATTCTAGTTTTGATGACTTTCCACTAGGGCCCCACCTAGTGTCGTCTCCGACGTTCTCAGTCAGTCCCGTGTTTCGAATAGTTTTCAGTAGATTTCGGCCAAATTTTCCCTTAGCATACCCCAAGCCAGGGTACAGTGATGGGGCATTGAAATCTCTAGCTATGGTGATTTGGTCATAGTCCAAGTCTAGTATCCCTGTGATAGTGCTGAGCAGTAGCTGATTTTGCTCTGCCCCACAGGTGGGAGATTGGTAGGTGCTCCCCAGTAAATGCTTGGTGTGGCCTACGGCGAAATGACACCATATGGAGTCTGGGAGTTCAATAAGTGGTGGGACCGTTGCGCGCACACATTTAAGTTGCCTATCAAAGTATATAGCAGCTCCCCCTCCTTCCTTATTATCCCTGTCTCCCCTGACCAGAACCACATCACCTACACTGATTTCGTTATCCGCGATAGTGGGGGTTAGCCATGTTTCGGTGAGGATGATCATTTTCAGTTGTAGGTCTGCTTGGAGATTTCGGAGTTCACATATTTTTCCTCTCATCCCTCTCACATTGCTATATAGGCAGCTGACAGTGAGTCTAACAACCTAAGCGTGTTGTGGGCTAGTTGACGTGAAGCTGTCTGCTGGTAGGGGACTTAATGTTGGGACTAGTTGGCCAGTTCCGATGAAACCGGCCCGTTGTGGGTTTTTCCCATGGATTCAGACAGGACACTTGGGTGACACAGACTGTTATCCTCAGAACTGCATCGCTCTAGTGTCACTGAAGCTTGAGGACGTATTAAAGCCTCAGTTTTCTGCCTCCTTATGGTTCGAGGTCTGCTTTCGCAGCATCGGATGTGTCCTCCCATTTTCCCCTTGATCTCATACCACCGTTGAAATGCTATGGCCAACTGCTCCGGGGAGTTGAATGTGACACTTAGCAGCTTTGAAGTGCTTATCAGTGTGAGATGAGCGGGGCGAGGTAGTCGGGAAATGGAGATGACTCCAAAAGCGCCAAGGGCCATCTGAGGTGACGGCCATCTCCATTGCTGTACGTCATGCATGTGTTTTTCACAGGCAGTGCCCGTTTCCCGCTCCGGATCACCATGTACCACCACAGAGGTAGAAGGCATCATTTTCGGTGACTCCCTCGTCATTTGTCTGATAGCCCATGGTCTGTCTTACTCACCCTTATGTTCAAACTTCTGTCAATGGCTAGTGCCTGGGTCATCAATAGTACTTTTCTGGCCTCTTTGGCAGAGTCCAGTGTAACCCTTAATTGGAGTGGCTTACCCTAAGGCGTGTGGACATCCCTGTACAGCCCGCACAATTTCACTGAACTAATGTTCAGACCTAACTTATTGCACAGGTTGGACCACTTTTCCTT